CCAATCATACTGGATTTATATACAAACAAACTGACCACATCGTACCAATAAAATAGAAAATAACATTTGTGCAAGATTTGACCAAATGTGGCTGTGAATAAGGGAAAAGTAATTAATAGAATGGGTATAACTCAGGAATGTTAAATCGTACAGTAATAGTCTGCGGGTCAAAATAAAGCTCATGATAAGGGGAACATGAATATGAATACTTAAGTTACCTAACAGTTATACAATAGGAAAGATACATATCAAATTGGTCGATAAATAGTTCTCAAAAGTTACCCTTCATAATTCTCTTCGGAATATAACAAATGCTTTCTTGTCTATTAAATATAATAGATTACTAATTATTTTACAAAGAGTATTTGTAAAATGTTCTCTTTATTCTTTATATGGACTCAGAATGTGTCTCTGAAGTGGTAAAATATTTTCGAAAACGATCATTAATTTTATAAGTTTACTAGATTCAACTTCAGTTGATCTAAGTTTGAGGAAAACTACTGATTTGGAAGTTGGTGTAGTTGAATTATATGAGCTGTTTTCCATTCATGTTACAGTCGATCAAAATGGAAATGAGACTTAATATGAAGTTGAGTTTTATGGTTCAGTCGATTTAATATCACAATATCACATAATTTAAACCTTCATACATAAAAAATATTGTATCATGTAACAGACGTTTTAAATATCAAATGAATTTATTTTTCATATAATTTAAGCCTAACTGAAAATCAAAGATGGATGGTGGCTTGAAGTGTAATCCAGGATACGCATTCAGTCCTATTTAGGACTCGTCAGATGGATATACATACATCTCACAGTTGATGTCCACTATGGGACTCGAACCCAATACCGTTCGCCTTAAACGTCATCACGTTATACACTTAGCTACTGAGTCCTGAATGAGCACCAACTCTGTTATGCATGTACATCCAACTGAAGAGTCTCAAATAACATGAAACGCGCGTCCTGCATTCCATTACTAGCCCTATCCATCGTTGCTTATAAAGCTTGTGACTTAAAACAATATGGAGGAAATCCGCACTGAATGCACATATGTCAATAAGAGACTAATCAATTACAGTCATAAACAACAATGGGAAGGTTCAGGTAAACAAAACTAAGTGAATCTAACTGAATATCCAACATTCTCCATATATATATATATATATATATATATATATATATATATATATATATATAATCGTAAAAAGTAATTTTTCAAGAACTTGGCAGATTGAGATCTTTGCCTTGAAAACTTTGTTAAGCAAGTATGATATGTTATACGCCATTGATATAAAACATTCTTCATGTATACTTTTTTAAATTAAGTAAATAATTGTGCAAAATCAGTTTTAAATGTTCTTACTGGGCTGTTAAGAAAATAATACAGATTATTTCTAATAATAAACCAGGCCTAGTTTCACATGTGATAATATGTTGCACGGAAGTAAATTAATAAACGTTCTGTAAACATTTCTTCGAATTGAATCTGAGATTCTTCATGATTTGATGTCAACCTGAAAAGTAGACTGTAACCGCTAAGAAGATCCTAGGTTATCTAGTTTTTGATAAGCATTGTTGGTTCTTTCTTGCAACAATGACTTCAAATATATTTTTTAGAATTCTTATTATTGTACAACCTTTGTTCTTTGCTGATCGGTTGATATTGATTTGCTTTCCTATTTGTTCCACGGTCGTGTTTATCTATTATATACTGAACTGTTCAACTCTAGTTCTATTCTTTGTTAAATATCAAGTTGCATTTCGCACAGTTACCTTCATGGTTTCCAGCATTGGAGATTACGTTCGAAGGGTATGTGTGTTAGATGAAACTTCATCGAGTTTGCTATAGTTCTCATTGGCACTGGAATAATAATTTCAATCATTCTTATTTATTCAGAAAGAACAACGACAAGACGGTGTTGATCTGAAGAATGTGATGTATTTGTGCTATATATTTTGAACAATCTGGTTGCACATACTTGTCAAGATATTTGATAAGAAAATCAAGGAAGGTCAATTAAATGAAGGTTCAATTAGACTTAAGGATTACCAGGACAAATTCAAGGTCACGAAAAATTGTTTCTGAACACACAAGTGGTGTTTGAATTTACGAATAGCCAACGCTTCTGTAAACCTGAGAATTGATCCTTGACAATCTCCTATTTAGCAGTAACCGTAGGCCCAAACTCGATTTGTGATTGATAATCACAGTTTCAACAGTGACAAACATGTATTTTATCATAGTATTGAACGTTTTAGCATTTTGTTGTGGTCAAACAGCAATAGAAACGAATGAATCGTCACACACTTTTCAACTTTATAGCAATTTAATGATTAATTATGATAAATATTCCCGTTTAGCTTAATTTACTGAGTAAATAAGATAAGGTCTAGTGAGGTTCAACCGACTGAAACATTAACCAGCCTAAAAAGTGCCGTAAATTCCCGTTGCTAAAATTGGATATCAGTTTCAAGGTATCATGAATGAAGTAAAGTTTTGATAAATCGATTTTAGTTTAGTGATTGGTTATCAGACTGATAAACTCAAGACCTGAAAAGTTTCAGTTTGAATCTATATCAGCTTATGGATGGGTAATGCTAAAGATTCCCACAATAGAATAAATATTGCTTCACTGTTCCTTGGTTAGTCAGTAGTGTCAGTCATGTATGTAAAACAAAAACTCATAACTTTATGTCATCTGATTTAAACTGATAAAATGAAATTCAATATCATAAACTATTTCAAGTCAACATTAACTAGTTGTTCACTGAGAATACTTAAAAATTAAGTTATAGACATTATTGAGATATGCAGCGTCGCATAGTATGTAAAATTGCTGCAATTTAACGATAGAGATTGCTGATGACCACATATATATGAAGAGTTGTAGTACTTTATTATAAACCTTAATTAATTTTTGGTTTATGATTTGCGTTTTTTATGTCTCGGTTGTAACTGAAAAAGAATTTGACTTGAGGTATAACATTACTCATATTAGTGTTATATCAGACAGTTCGTCAATTGAAGATTATTTGTATTAGTTTCAGAACATTTTAGGACGTATATCTACACTGCGTTTTATTATTTAAAACTGGCTTTATGACAGAATGTTATATCCAAACAAATAATAAATGAATGTTAACTGCTAGGGATTATTTATGGACTATTAATACATGTATACTTATTGAACTACTATTAAGGAACTATATTTTATGTATATTCATATTCCTTTTATCATAAGCTCTCATTTGACTTTTTGGCTACTGTTATGCGATTAACCATTCCTAACTTATCCCTAATTTATTAGTTACAGTATCATATACTTATGGTTTGATCGTGTATAATTATTTTTCATTTTATGATGTGATACGGTCCGGTCTACTTACATATAAACCAAGTATACTTGAAATATACGATTTGTACATTGGAGGATGATATTTATGTTCTGGACTGAATGGGCTGGGCTAGATAAGAAGTTACCATACAGAGGACCAACACGGTTTCATAATGAACTCAAGGCTTCTAGTGCTGACTAACTCATGATTGGTCTAGCATAGAGAAAAGGTCATATAAGTCTGTGATCTGACTGGCTATTATGTGATGTGGTAGTTGACAGGGCCATAAGTCATAACACAGAAATGATCCAAAATGCCTTTAAATATGAAACACATCAAATTTTGATGACAAAGTAAGTAATTCAATCAATAAATAGAAGAAAAATGCTGAGTTCAACTGCAGTGTTAATCTCATATAGGTTATTCTAGCTTCTAGACAAACCAAATTTATCCATTCTACTCAAGCTACATTTTGACCTTGTCAATTATTCGCTTATCAACCCTGACTGTTTTTATGTAAGAGTATGTGTGCACATTTCTTACCTTATACACCACAGGTTTGTAAATTGTTTTTGTGTGATTATAAATATCGATTGACGCTTAATTAAATCGAGTTGGCTCACTTGCTTTCTCTAACCAGCTTCAGTCTTTCCTGATTGTTTCCTCTCACTGATTTCCTGTTCATATCAGTGAGTGCATGAAATATACGTATTTAAAATCGACTCTCATATTTCGCTTATTTAATTCAGTTATTCATTAACGCGGGTTAAGTCGACAATTATATACGAGGATAGACGGCATGTGTATTCTAATAACAATCATTCATCTGATCTAACTGGAGTTAAATATACTGGGTCACTAAACTACACAACAATAGTAAGTATCATGGATTAAACAAGTGGTTGATTATCGGAAACATAATAATAGTACTTATATAAATCTTTTTGGATATTTTTTACATGTACTGAAACAAGTAAATATTCAGTTAAAGATATTGATCAAGCTTAGTTTGAATGATTCCAAATACAGATTCCACGAGAGCCTCTCACCTCTCAATTTAATAAGTGAACTCAAAGTGTTTTTAACAGATGTGTAGTCTTTATAAATTAATAGTTCTAAGGGAAAAAAATAGTATATCAAAATTTATCTACTTAATCAGTTATTTAAATACTGATTATAATCGTGATTTTTTATAACATACTCGTTTATATGCATAGACTTTGAGTTTTTAACATTAAGACAAATGTGGAATCATTTTTTTGAATTTATGCAATTGTGAATGTCAGATAACTGGCTTCATTACTTACTTACATACGCCTGTTACCCCTAGTGGAGGAGCATAGGCAACACACCAGCGTTCTCCATCCAACTCTGTCCTGGCCAATCCTTTCCAGTTCTCTCCAAATGTCATTCATCCTTTTCACATCTGCTGCTATTTCCCGGCGTAATGTGTTCTTTGGCCTACCTCTCTTTCTACTTCCAAGTTAGGGCTTGCCTCTCGATGCAACTGGCTTCATGGTACCAATTATATTTATCATCTAGATTACATTGATGATTTTACAAGCAACGTGTTCACTTAAATGTTTCCTATTATTTAGTGTTTTTCAATTTGCAAAATTTACAAAAACAATTCTAATGTTATGTTACATTATTTACAGAATGAAGGTGGATACAAATAAAACAAATGAAAATAAATTTAAACAATGGTTTAATCGTACTTTCAAAATGAGTTTAAAACCACCTATTAGAGATACAAAAAGTGTACCAACTACACCAAGTATCATTGAAGATGAAAATCGTCATATTTTAAATTATACCATAGACTCTAAAGCATTGTCTATGAAAGCTATAGCATTTCGTGATAAACACTGTGGTTTAAATGAAGCGCCAGAATTTATGGGTGTATTACAGTCAGAATATCATATAATGCCGATACAAAATAAAGAGATATCATCTAATCATGGAATGATTTTTGTATTCGAACCAATTTTATTATATTGTTATGTTCAGTCAACTGCACAAGATGTTGTATTTATTTGGCAGAAAGACTCAATTGAAATAAAGCCCAGTGATAGAATTGATGTAAGTTCACCAATTTATACTCATCTTCATGACAAGTTACTTATTTAGTTGTTTATATTGTGAAGCTAAATAAAATGTTTTCTTTAGGTAATTAGTATTCCTTCAGAACTAAATTATTCTTTTCTTACAGGGAGCATTTCAAAATAAAAAAAGAAACGAAGCATATATTAAAAACATTCAACATGACAGTGGACTTATTAAGTTATGCTTCATAAATTTTGACAATTTATTATGTTAGTAACCATCTAACACTTTTAAAATGAGCCTAAATTAAATGAGAAACTGATTATTGTCATGTATATCATTTTATTTTCCTGAAATTCTGATTCTCAGAAATTGATAGGTGTTTGTTATACTTGATATTTGATAATTTTTGTAACTCAGTTAATTTTAATGTAGCTCCATAACTACTTTTGTGCAATGTAAGCAAAGATGGACATTGGCTAGCAGTGAAATCCAGGACACGTAACTTTATCTGCAATTACAAGGTGCTTGTACAAGATGTTTGATAACAGCACTAAAATGAGTTGATTTTGGACAATATTTGGTTGGTAATTTCTTGACATTTATGCGCAAAAACGTAAGATACGTATTCCTGGCACAAGATATTTTATACATAGCATATATTAGCAAAATATGTATTTCATAGTATCTTCAGTTTGTATATTGAATCTTTTTTGACAAGAAATTAAAAAGTTGAGAAGTGGTCAGTTATTTAATTCCATTGAAAAGATCTATTCTTTTATTATATCAAAAGGGCAACCAAAGATTTATCTCTTAAAGCAATGCTAATCTTAGTATAGACAAATCCCAAAAACTCCTATTCCAATAAATAGCATTGTGCTCTCTAAAATGGGTAAACACAAAAAGCAGCCTACTAGATTTTCTTTATTTCAACGAACAGGTAAAATAAATCTTTATAGACTGCCTTTATTCCTATATATAAACTTGGTTTAAGCGCTTTAACAAAATTTCTGTATATAAGACTTTAGGATAACGATGAAAATGTTCACCCAAACATAACCATAAAATCAAAAGTGGGTGTTTCTTCAATGTGTCTTTTGATCGAGATGCTTGCATTAAGTCATTGTATAATCGATTGAAATCGGTACATTTACAGAAAATTTCGAACATCATTATTGACGAATATAAACTAAACTCACTTCTGTGTATGGTTTATTTACTTAGATTTTTAGTCAAGATACTGCAACTCAGCTAAGAATTAATTGTCCTAATTTGTCAGATAATGGAGACTATGATTGTATTGCAATGAATCCTGAAGGTAGATGTTCTACACATACACGCATTTTTATTGAAGTACAAGAACCAGATGAAAAGGTGACAAATTCCACATTATCAGATCCAAGGATGGAAGACAATGTAAATTTACACGATATACAGAAGGATTCCAGGGAACATGATAATACTTTTAGTTTAGTTAATGATCTAAAAAATTCATGTAATCATATTTTACGTCAAAGTCCATTAAGGCGTATTGGCTTCCGGCGAACAGTATGTTATTCAAAATGTCTAACTGAGACGAAGGAAAATAACACTTCGAATAAAATTAAAGATCTCTTTTTAAAATTCAACTCTTTGTCTGAATGTGAAAATATCATCCTGTTAGATGACAAACATATTGGTAGCAGAAGATATCAAGAAAATAATAGAGGATGGAAATATAATTCATTTCGATATTTACGTAATTATGATATGAATCAGGCCAATAACTTTGTACAATTATTGGACTTTAATAATGGTGATCATAATAACAATATTAACGATAATGTCCAAAATATTTTGTCAGTTAAAGAGCAGATAAATTCACATTATTCCCATTCTACAAAATCAATTAACAGTCCTGTTCTAAAAGTCAGTCATACAAATTCACTGTACAAAGATGAAAATATACCAGTAGAAAATGTAATTACCAAATCGAATACATGTAAACGACGCTATCGATCTAGCAGTTTGTTAACAAATGAACATTCAGGTAATTTGTAATATTATTCGACAACAGAAAATGTAATTTTATTTACTTTTTATAATTTAGAATTTTTAGATTATCTACAATACTACTATGAGGAACAACAGCAAGAAAGAAAAATTACCAATCATAATAATGATATTAATAAATCTAGAATAAGGAATCGTCAATCATATGCAACAGATACATTTTGTTCAGTCAAGAATAATGATCATTGGAAATTATTGCCTAAAACTGTATTTAACAGATTAGAAAAATTGTAAGTTAGTTGGCAATTTGATTAATAAAACTTGAGAAATACTTTGATGGAAACTATTTAGGCAAACTAAATAATTAGATAATTTCTACATTATCAGAAGGGTTTTGTGATTTTAGTAATTTTATAGAGTTGAGATCATGAGTCAATTGAAGCTAGACTACCGCGGAAAACCTGAAGGCACTGGACGGCCGTTTCGTCCTATTATGGGACTTCTCAGCAGTGCGCATCCACGATCTATCGGTTAAGTGCTCTGGCGCAAGACTGGTAGGTCCTGTGTTCGAATCTCGCGAGGCGGGATCGTGGATGCGCACTGCTGAGGAGTCCCACAATAGGACGAAAAGGCCGTCCAGTGCTTCCAGGTTCTTCATGGTGGTCTAGCTTCAATTGACCCATGATCTGAACTCCATAAAATCTCTACATTAGCTTAAATGACTCTCGTTGATAAACGCTGCTATAATTTAAATATTATCTAATATGTCGACACAGATTCATATAAATAATCGTTCTGAATTAATTTTGTCAACTAGTGTTTTAAAAAATATACGGAGTAGTATCTAAAATAAAAGTCCACACAGAGTAACTGTTTCTTTAATGAGTTTGTTAGATGATTGCACTTACATATTGGTGTTGACATTTACATTGAAATTATAACTTAATTTTCATTGCTTCAAATGATAGTGTCTTATCTACTGGTCTACTGATGTGAGGATAACCATCTGTTTTTCAGTGCTCAGTAAGTGTGTACAATCTAGAATCATCAAGCATTTAACTGTTCATTTAATGTGTTAACAATGCACGAGAATGTGTAATTTTAACTGATAACTTCATGTCAGTCATCTGAAGTTATCTGAATGTATCTTCTTTAAACACTCTACTTCAGCGTCTTGCAGCTTATCGGATGAAAAAAGTAAATAACTTAAAATTCAGGGCTTGGAATGAAATTCCTGTTGAAAATTGTGTTCTCACATGCAGCATTCTCTCACCAAATCAAAAGACAAGTGCTGGATGCTGTGTACATATTGGAAATCGGGATGTAAATGCACCATGCATTAATGGACACGTATCCTGATTTCAACTTAAGGAAGCTCTAAGTTCAGGTTGCATAAGTACTCCATATTTTAGTATCTATAAACTAACCAATAGTGCCACATAACGATATCCGATTTGATGCATAACAATTCGTCTTTTATGTTATAATTTATGTTATCTACAAGTATTCATGTATTGTATGTATAAGGTATGGACAGATTCAATTTAATATTAAACTGTTTATTGTAGGAGTACATCTAATCTTCAGAGAACAAATAGTTCAGGAATGTCAAAGGTGAGTATGAAATCATTTTCAGTTGTGCACATAAATTTAAAAGCCTAAAGTCAGTGATCGTTGACTTGTATTAAAGCTAAGTTCAAAAAAAAGATGTCAGCCGTTTAATTTAAGTCAGTTGAGCCTAATTGATTGATAAATTCTTAAACGTTTCACAGTACATAACATTATACGTCAGTGATAAGGTATCATGTACATAACACTAACTCATGTTTCCATAACAATATTTTTCCGGGATGAGGTCCCTATTATACGGATATCTAAAAGCCTCTTACAAAGTAGTTACTGTAGGTTCATAAATTGTATCTTAAACATCTAAGGCAATAGTTGTTTTCTGTTATAAAGGAGCTATTTGTGCATGAATTCCGTCCTGACTTGCGCATTATTGAGGAAAATTTGTCGAGACTATAAGCAAAGATGAATAGTGGCTAGCGGTGAAATTCAGGACGAGCGTTTCGTTCTATTTCGGACTCACCAGCTGCATGTACCTGCATCTCAGAGTTGATGTTCACTCTGGGACTCGAACGCAGTTTCTTTCGCTCCAAATAACATCGCGTTGTCCACTCAGCTACTGAGTACTGATAACCATTTGCCTGTACAATGAGGTGAAATTTAAATTCACTTAGTATTGTTTGTTTGAATCTTCCCATTGATGTTTAAGTCTGCAACTGGTCAGTATCTTATTGGCATAGTATGCACATATGCCAATAGGAGACTGACCAGTTGCAGTCCTAAACATCAATGGGAAGATTCAAACAAACAATACTAAGTGAATTTGTCGAGACTAGTTTTAAACAATGCAAATTCATGTATAACATAAGTTCTTAATAATGGATACTTTTCAATAGTTTGTTAATAAATTTGCTTTTGAATCCCATATTAATAATCAAGTAGGAAAGAAGTAAAAAATGATGGAGTAATAAATATTATGTGAAAATTAAATTCACGATTTCGAACTGCTATTTTTAGAATAAAGATACTCATAAGAAAGCTAATCGGTTCACTGATGTTTTCAATACATACTCTGAATGTTACTTTATTTAGAGAGTATAAATGAAATATTTTCTAGTTAGCATTTTTTAACGAGTTAGTTTTTTTACTGGATGGAGTCACTAACCCCATACCCAATCATCCTCCTTCACCCGGTCTTGGGAGCGATAGTAACTCTAGAAGAGCTGCAGGCGGAGTTATAAATGAAATATAGTAAACATAATTTGTATTAAATAAATTATGTATTTATAATATCCCAATGAGTAGAAAAATTAGATTTTCTGACGTTTCGTGACTCAGTGCAAGCCACTTCTTCAGAGAGTAAATAACCAAATTAACATTAATCCAAGTTTAAATAGTACAACGGAACAATCAAAGAATATTAAGTGATCAATCAAAAACAGGTCTGAATAAATCAATGTCACGTCATTTCATAATTTCATAATTTGTATTGCCTTATAAGTGATAAGAATTCCGTATTCCATGTTTGTTAACTAACAAATGAAATAACAGTCATCATGTTCTTTAATAATAAAAATGAGACGTTTATCGTTACATTATATGAACGAATCAAAGAATCATTTGTACACTGAATGTGAAATGATTTGATTTTATCTCCTGACAAAAAAATAAAAACAATCCAACTAAGTAATAAATCAAATTTTTAATTTATATAGAGTTCTACTACATCAAATATGAAGTCAATCAATGAATTTTTATTCACTCCTAATCAATTAAATGTTAATCATCTATCAGCAGCAGGATCTTCCATATCAGATATCTTTCTATCCTCTGGTAGGCAATCACCTAAATCAAAATCATCACAAATATCATTAAATGATATTGATTTCTATCCAATAAATAGTATCAAATTAATTGAAGTGAGAATGTTGAATACATCAAGTAATGAAAATCCAAAAACTTCTATCAGTGATGTTGTACAAGAAATTGTTATGCAATATGTTGGATCTTCACAAAATTATCATTCTTCATTTAGTGAAGAAGATTTAGACTGTAAGTTTAAACTATTAGAAAGAAAATTTATTGTAATAAACTTTTATTGAATTGAATGTTTTGTTTTAATTTTTAAAGAATTGTGATATTTTATTAACATTGATATACTATAGATGTAAATGTGATATGAAACCGTTATAACTTGTGGCCGAAAGGATGCCCAGTTAATGTATGACGTGATAAAACCGCCAATTAGAGAGCAGCGAATAATCGATTGGAACAGTGACACACGAAAAGCGTACGAGCAGTCTGGAGTACGTATCAGTCCTGCTTTCTGCCTAGCCCAGTCAGTTAGGTCCAGAATACCAAGAACAACCTCTGCGGTATGAATCCTTGTATTTCAAACATACTGAGTTTGTATACCAAACAGAATAACCATATCGTATCAATAAAATGGAAAATAACATTTGTACAATATTCGACCAAATGTGACTGTGAATAGAAGGAACAGTAATCAATAGACTGGGGATAACTCAGGAATAGTAAATCGTATAGTAATAGTCTATGGGTCAAAATAAGGCTCATGATAGGGGAAACATGAATACAAATAGTTTAGTTATTTAGCAATTATACGATAAAAATATATGCATAATATTGGTTCGTAAATAGATCCCAAAGTTACCATTCACTATTGTTATCGGAACATAACAGAAACAGGTATAAACATTGAAAATGAGTTGATCAGCAATAAAACAATCTTTGTAACAAACAATTTATGTTTAAGCTATGAATAACCACTGAAAAATGGAAAACGTCTATGACTGTGTTTGATTGTAAAACAACCTAGAATTATATAACTCCCTTCAAAATTTAATAAACACTAATTAGATGATGGAAAAATAAATTAAAAGTGGTTGTCACTGTGATTAAAAGCGGAACAAATAACTTTCGGAAGACAAAAAAATTTAATAAATTCGTTTTGTCGTTAGCAGAAACAGTATTTTAGATCTGTATTCTTGAAATTCTGTACATAGTATTATTGTAGATATAGAACTTAATAAGAAAGCAACATTTGAACACTGGAGTACTCATATTTTAGGTTCAAAATTAAATTTCTACTCGATAATGTTAGCTAAACAGCTTGAAAATTGAGGTATACTGAAAAGGAAAATTTATTTAGTGACGAACAAACAAATATGATAAGATGATTGATTCTAACTGAAGTGTACTTACTTAGACTGGATGCTACAAATTTCATGGTATGCTACTCATACTACTTATTCTATATAATCTTAGACCTGAAATTAGTGTTTTTGTCGTATATTTTATTCAGCTAATACCCCATTAACAATATTTAACTTTTTAAACAGGAGATAATCTTATTTCAGGAAATCCTCCAAATATGTAAATTACTACTTAAATACTTAGACCTGTCACTCCCAATGGAGCATAGGCCACCGATCAGCATTCTCCAACCGACTCTGTCCCGGGCCTTCCTTTCTTGTTCTGTCCAATTGTTGTTCATTCTTCTCATGTCTGTTTCCATTTCTCGGCGTAATGTGTTCTTTGGTCTTCTTCTTATCCTTTGGCCTTGAGGATTCCAAGTGAGGGCTTGTCTTGTGACATAGTTGAGTACTTTGCTCAATGTGTGTCCTATGCACTTCCAGCGCTTCTTCCTGATTTCTTCCTCATCTCGATGGAATCTGGTTTATTCTTTTCCACAGTAAGTTGTTGCTGATAGTGTCTGGTCAACGGATCCAAAGTATTTTGCTTAGACAACTGCCTCATACAATAGAAATATCCTGGCATTTGTATTGGAAATTCTGATCTTGGTGTTGGTTGACAGTTGTTTTGAAATCCAGATGTTCTTCAATTGTAGATATGCTGCTCTTGCTTTGCCGATCCACGCCTTCACATTTGCGTCAGATCCACCGTGCTCGTCAATGATGTTGTCCAGGTATGTATAGGTTTTTACATCCTCCAAAGCTTCTCCGTCAAGTGTGATTTGATTGGTGCATGTTGTGTTGTATCGCAGAACCTTGATTTTCCCTTTGTGTATATTGAGACCTACTGCTGCTGAGGCTGCTGCTATACTGGTCGTCTTCTCCTGTATTTTTTGTTGCGTGTGTGATATAAGAGGTAGATCATCTGCGAAGTCCATATCGTTTTTGCGTTTTTTAGCGCATTAGTTTTCTACGGGATGGGGTGGCTAACCCCATGCACAACCCTCCTACTTCATCTGGACTTGGGACCGGCAATAGCTCCTGGAAAGGCTAAAGACGGAGTTCCATGTAGATTATAACAATATAAATTTATTTTCTTTATGGAAAGTGAATCAAACGTCTCTTATTTAAAATACTGTTTTTAATCACTTTTCAGTTTATACTACTTGTATGACAATGTTACATTACGTTTCTGATATGTGGTCAAGAAAATAAAATATGATTGGTCACTGAGCCTGAATAAACAGGCATATATTAGAACAAATAGTTGGACAGAAATTGGGCGCCGAGTATGGAGAAGACATTAGCCTGATGAAGTCCAGTTAAGTTTGCTGGACGAAAAGTTGGAATTATTTAAATTTTAATCGATGAGATTATTTCAAATGGATTTTTCACGAATAAACAGGCACTTAGCCTATCGACTATTGAATTTGTGATTTATTTTCCTGTTATTGATTTCTACTCGGACTCACTGAGTGTGACTATTTGTAATTGTGTTGAATAAAATATTATCTAGTCTATACTCTGGTTTTCTATTCTCAGTCGTGAATCCTGCTTCTGATATAACGTGACTAGTCTTATCACTATATTAACGTATTATCGTAGTATACTTGAGAGAGAGAAATACTTTTAACCACCTGTTATATCAATTTCAAAGCAATATTATTAATTTCCAGTTTGACTGTTTGTTTTACTCTTTAATACATGATATATTTTACAGTAATATACAATTTTACTTCAATAGAAGGTTATGGTTAGCTAGTGATTTAAATAGAAGATGACATGTTAGAAGATGGGTAACATGCTCTTATCTATAAATGCAACAAATTGAGTAGCTGATACTATGGAAATGCATGAGTGGACTTGATGTACAGTCAATATATTATACTAATCCCCTGAATGAGATAAAACTACTTTATAATGAAAACTATGTGAGCACTTATGCCAACTTCAGGTATCAAAGAAATGAAACAGAAATTTTTTATGAACCAATCGTCAAGTTAAAAAAAAATATTCAGCCAAATTTGGCTAACACCTAAGTTATCTTGTTTGTTTTAAGAAAAATGTCTTTTAGATACTGGCTACCTGCTAAAAGAATGGTTGATTTCTGCATCTAAGTTACAAGAATTTGTTCAGGATCCATACATACTCACAACAACTGGTCAAATGTAGTCCTCAATATCAACAACGTGGAATGAAGAACACTTTCCATTGCTTTCGAATTTAATGAACATTTTGGTGTCAATCTGAGCTCAGTAGATCAATAGGTAGCAACATATATTTAGTCTAAGCCTTGGTATAAACACCAACACGCATGTAAGTACATCCAAGAGACAAGTTTAAAAATGGTTTAAATGAGAGTTCGAAATGCAACTGATAAGCCTAACCCAAATAATTGAAATATTTATCATTGGAAATATGATGTACTATTTAAAAACTTTAAAAAATACAAAAACTTATATTTTACCATTAATTTTCAGATAAATGCGTGAACAAAACAAACAGTAACAATCCAGAACAGATAAAACAAATGGTTATAGGTACGATTTGTCAGTCAAATGAAAATCGAATTAGTACAAAACGAACAAGCCAGGTCCTAGATAGCAATAAAGATAATGAAACAGTGATATGTAAATTATCATCATTCAATGATGGGAATGGAGATATATCAGAGATACAAAAACAAACTAGTTTCAGTATTTCCGATTGTGATGAATCAGGAAACCAATCAGCTTATGAATGTTCGAAAACCACTCACAATCAAGCTACGATTAAACAATCTTCGTTGGGTATACCAATATGTAATAATTTAAGAACTGATAAAATACACTTTTCAAAGCCATCTGGTTCTCATGATGCTAATAAAATGTTAAAGGATTCCTCAGAAAGTATTTCACAGACTTTAGAAAAAATACCAATTGAACAACCCCCAACAGAACCGGTAAAAAGACGTCCAAATATTAGTTCAATATTAATTGACAAAAAGTTGAAATCTTCACGAGAATATATCAAAGACAATTTATCAGTATCTCCAACTGAAAAGACTACCACAAATGATCTGTTAACAGAACCTTATAAAAGAAAAATAGGTGAAGAATACCAGTACCCAGAAAAAGTAAAGCGACTAACGAGATCAAGGAAAACTATTAAAGAACAACATAAACCTTTGAACAGAGAAAATAAGTTCTTAAATCATGAATTGAATGACAGTACCTATCCAAATGATAGCCTTAATGTATCAGCAACAACTTTTGACGTCAATAAAGTTGATTGTGATATGATCAGTAAATTAGAAACTCCTATACAGAGCTCATATAGTGATATTATTTGCACTTCTAAGGCAATTAATAACAGAAATTCTAACCATATGACAGATGCTTTACATCCTAGTTCTCATGAACATGGTCAGATGCATCAAAATAAAGTATATGAACTGATGCAAAAATTTGAAATTTCTTCAAAAACTGCTTGTTTGTCTCCTAGTAAACAAATTATTAATCGTATATCACGAATAAACAATGAAAACTCAACTAAGCCCGATGATTTCATTGATAAAGCATTTTATAATAGTATTGGTGTAGATAAAATGATTACAAATCAGATTTTAAATAATTCAAGTAAAACAAATATACGTTCAAAGACATCATCATCGTCTTCATCGTCATCATCATCATCATCATCTCCATCAGCAGCAGCAGTATCAATCTCAACCAATCAGTTTCGGAAAACATCAGGAATAAAACATCATCCTTTGGCATCCTCAAAGTATAACAATTTAAAAATAGACAATAACCAATGTGGAGTCCAGCTGGAACAACCTGTCCATCAATCTACGAAACACCAATGTAGTAACAAACATTACGATGATATAACCCACAATCATACAAATGATCAGACCATAGGGATTTCGAAATCTGTAAACTCAACATTTACTGAAAAAACTTTTACACAAAATATTACTGAGGGAAATATGGATTCATCAAAACCTAATCTAAAAAAATATTCAGCATACACACGTGAAGAATTTAAAGAGACCCAAAGTAAAGTAATCAAACGTGAAGCCTATGTTAATACGAAAAAGATAACACCAGAAGAAAAAGCATCAGGATTACCAACAAAGACATCAGAAAACAGATTAATGTGTCAAACACCTTTGTCTAAGAATCCACCATTGATGGATGATACATTAAAGTCATCAAACTTTCCGTCACTGAAACCTGTGGAACAATCTAACACACCGGTTTCTCTTCGCAATAAAAGTATTTCAGATCATTCAAATGTGAAATGTACCAGCGTAGAAAGCTCCCTAACATCAAAATGTAAGTTACGTTTTTCTACTTGTTTTCCTAAAATAAATTTAACGGAAACTTCGGCGTTGCTGATTAGTATCCATCTTATACCTAGCAAAATCAGGATGTATAAAATAGGAAAAAGTAAAAAAATTGTTAATGATAATAGAAAATCATTTTTAAAACTTAAATACATTGTCATTAACAAATCTGTGTATAACAACCATAAAGAAAAACCAATTGAAGATTCGACTTCTGAAACCGCACTAAATTTAATTAGACATGATCCATTATCACAAAATAACTTCCTGAATAAATGAATTATATTTAAAACTTTTATTATTATACTTGCATCTTTTAAGCATTATATTGTCGAATGATATTGGTTTTCTTTGAGGATATATGGCCACTTTTTGTCCAGTAATGTATAAAATAAACTCTGATAGCCCTTCTTCAGAATACTATCATCAATAAACAAGTTAACAATGAATTATAATCACAGATGAACGATGGGTAGCAGTGGAATCCAGGACGCTCGTTTCATCCTATTTGAATTAATTTCTTATAATCAACCAGCTATTTTAAGTAATAATGTTTTAAGCAAAGATGGATAGTGGCCAGCAGTGAAATTCAGGACCCGCGTTTCGTCCTATTTGGGATTCGTCAGTTGGGTTGATGTTCACTCTGGGACTCGAACCCAGCACATTTTGCTTCATCTTTGCTTACAATGCTTCTGAAATAAGGCTATATCGAGGCGATACGCACAGTATTCACATATGTCAATGAGAGACTGACCATTTGCAGTCCTAAACATCAGTGGGAGGATTCAAACAAACAATACTAAGTGAATAATATTTTAAGTTGTACTTATTTCACATCAATATTTTCATAGTAACTAATTTCAAATATTATGTAATGGTACTCCAGATTATATATAATAAAACATATGATATTACATCACTGTATTACATTTATAAAATGCATAAAAATAATGCTGACAAGTTGAATATTAAATGAAATTGTGTGTGAAAATTTGTCTAATTTAATGTTTCTGAGTCTTATTTTATTTGAGCTGGTTATATTTAATGTATTATTGGTATTTTATTTAAGTATGTTAATCTGTTTCAAATGTGCATTAACCTTAATCTTTCTTTTTTTAATATCAGAAAGCTGATTAACGAACCAAATCGTGTAGTCAGTTCTTTAGTCTTGATCGAATATGATCGACCAGGTTATAATTTTAGTCGTTGAGATTAGTTACTAGGTTACTAGATAAAATAAAATGACACATCACAAAGTTGATGAGTTCTCTATATCCTATTCAAATTCATGTTTGATTGTTATTCGTATCATGATAAATAATTTGTATTTATAGAAATTATATGGTTTAGCATTGCAGAAGTAATATTCATCAATGAGCCAGCTTACAAGTTATAATGTACGCATTAAACACAGTTTTTACCAATGATTTTTATCTAGAAAACCGCTGAAAACCAGGGCAATTGGTTTGTTTTGGTTTTAAACTTCTCATCATTTAGCTCATAGTGTAGTGAACAAGGACACGAGTGGGACAATCGAATGTAATTAAATAAAAGTTACAAACTATCTCACTAAATTTTGATAACCATACAAGAAACAGTTAATTTGCAAAATAACAATCAATGGTCAAAATCTTCACTGTTTCTTCTGTAGTTATCAGTTCATCTTCTCTAATACCATTGTTCGTGCGTTTTCCTACCAATTGCACTTCATTTCAGTTCTTTTCTCATCGGTCTTCTGCCAAAATACATCCTATGTCTGACCATCACCATATACTACTTATATGGATATAAGTAGACCACACTACAATAGAACCTTAAAAGGAACGCGGAAAATTTCAAAAACTTTTTTATTTTAAAAAGTTCAGTCAATACTTTAACCAGAAATAAGATTACATAGTTAAAATAGTCTTTAATATTTTATAACTTGGTATGTAAAATATTACACAAATAGTATATTAATCTGATTGAATTTTATTTCTCAAAATTTGCATAAATTATCTAGCAGATCAAACTGAGTCCATTGACTATCCTCTAAAAATCAACACTATCAAAAATGTAAATCCTACAGATCATTATGAAGAGATTGCAGTGCTTGGTTAGTAAGTTTATTCAGTACTATTTAAACATAGTTGCTTAATGTTGATTTTACTTATAAACTTATTAAATAGATTGTTTTACCAAAGAATTGTTACAAAATGTATCGATGCATTCTTAGTAGCATCCACTAGCTCATTTTATTGCTCGCTTTGATCGTGTACCTGTAAAGAAAAGAGTAATATGAAACGTGAGTCTAAATTAATATACAATCTCGGCTAAACACAAGTGCTTTGAAAAGTAGTTATACCGTTCTAATCCATGAGAAGTAGACCTGGTTAGATTACGAAGAAATAATCGCTAATGATTGATTGATATAGTGTTTCACTTACTATTGTTTGTTTGAATCTTCCTATTAATGTTTGGACTGCAACTGGTCAGTCTCTATGGGACGATTCAAACAAACAATACTAAGTGAATTTAAAATTCACCCCATCGCACAAGCAAGTGGTTATCAGTACTCAGTAGCTGAGTGGCTAACGCGATGGTATTTGAAGCGAAAGAAACTGCGTTCGAGTCCCAGAGTGAACATCAACTCTGAGATGCAGGTACATGCAGCTGGTGAGTCCGAAATAGGACGAAACGCGCATCCTGGATTCCACTGCTAGCCACTATCTATCTTTGCTTACAATCATATGATGTTTGTTTACTTAGTTTGTATACTTTGAGTTGACAATTATGGTGATCCACTGTAGTTTACATAACATAAATTAAACTTTAAATCAGAAACCCTGATATTCATAAAGTTTTGAAAATTATTTAGATTAATATATATATATATATATATATATATATATATATATATATATATATATCTTAAATAAAACATTCCAACACTTAAGGACATTCAGAAATTAGGCCTCAATATACCACCTGAAAGCGAACTTTACTAATTATTACTTATGATGTTTTGCTGTAAACGTGATATCTATAATTAGTATGAGTACTTTGTTTTATTAATGAAATTAACACGAATTCGCATTATCATTGTAACTGAGAGAAATTTGGTAGATCTGGTATTTTTTACAGAATGAAAATGTTAGGCACTATATAGCAATGCAAAAATCTTTAAGAAATTCAATTAAATAGGTAGGATTGTCGAACTTTAATTAGCATTCACTGAAGTACTTGTAGGTTTTATATTATATAGATATTACATCCCTTTCTGCATAGGTAGTAATATGGAATGTAGAATTGGAGTATTCACATAAATACTTTCAAATGTGATATCGGACTATAAAAGAGACTTTATGGATAATCCACCAAGTATGTGTACCAGAAGTAATCGTAATCAGATGATAATGTATTTCAGTGTTATTTTTCGTAAATAGTATGTCATATACACATTCAATAGGTATCTTCATGTAAAATTATACTGAGAGATGACCGAAATCTAGTTAGTAAGTATCGTGTTTCTCTGCCACTATAGTGAACCAGGAATATGGAGTAAGGAGTTAGCGTATGATGGTAATAATATGTATAAGATATTCTGGAATTTTAACAACTATGAGTGACAATCTTTATTTAGACTCAATGAACTTCGAACATCGCCGTTTCTCTGAGTCATCCTCAACTAAATGACACTATCTTGTTCGTCGGATTCTTACTTATTGCCTCTAACCATCAAATATCATATGTACTGCTCTACAATTTTTAAATCGCTTAGAAAACTATACAATGACTTTGTATGCAAAATGTAACAAAACTGAGGACAACAAATATGTGTTAGCTAGGAACGAATGTCAAGAGGAAATTTTCGCAGTTCTAGAAAGAATCCATTTCCAGTGAAGCTGAATCGTGTCGGTTGTAAGACCCACCAAAGACAATGGAAGATGTTTGCACAATGTCGTGGATTGATTTAAGTTAGACTTGTATACGATTGGTTGCTGGACCAGTGGTGTAAGTGTTAGCCGAGACTGAGGGTCCTGAGTTCGATTCTCTCTGGCGAGATTGTGGTTGTGCACCCCTAAGTAGTTTCATGATAAAACGGAATGAAAGCTCAGTGTTGTCACATTTTCAGTGGTCATCTAACTTACATGGGTTCGTGATTTCAATAAAAACTGTTTGTTTATCTTGCTGATAGCTCCCGCATAGTATAAAATTAATATTCACACCTTCTTGTTGATTGTCTTCGACCACCAAACAACAATAAATTTAGTCTTGCATAATTTCATTACGATGTCTCTATATGTTTCTGTTACTAAAGACAATGAAGAAAATTCATAGTTTAAAAGGTGAACAGAAACTATTTAACATCACTCTGACCATTTTTATTGCTAGTTTTATGAGTTTCATGAATATTATTCTTATCAGAGGGGGTTTCTGTGGAGATTTAGTATTTTCATAGTTGAACGCGTGAGTCAATTGAAGCTAGACCATCAGGGAAAACCTGGAAGCCCTGGACGGCCATTTCGTCCTACTGTGGGACTCCACGAGAAGTAAATCCAGGAGTTCTAGTGAGAAGCAATGTCCAATGGAGTTCAAACCAGGTCTGTTGTGAGATAGGAAGACAAGCGGAGAACGGTTGCTCAACTTTGTGGATTGGTTGGAGTTAGACATAAACACATCAGCTGCCGGCCCAGTGCCCTGTTGGTTAAGTGCTCGCGCGCGAGACCGGTAGGTCCAGGGTTCAAATCCTCGAATCTCGCGAGACGAGGTCGTGGATGCGCGCTGCTGTGGAGTCCCACAATGGGACGAAACGGCCTTCCAGTGTTTCCAGGTTTTCCCTGCTGATCTAACTTCAAATGACTCACGTTTTCAACTATGAGAATATTATTCTTATTAAATAAGTAATGGTGAAATATTATCTAAACTAAACCCTTGTAATATATATGCTCTTGCCTTGTTATTTTCAAAAATGATCATGACGATAAAACGTTTTCATTTTATATTTGGTTATTCTTCTCCTTTAATCATTTTTCTCTTTCAAGTGGTACATATGGACGTGTAATTAAATGTTTAGAGAAAAAAACTGGAAATATATTTGCTGCTAAAAAGTTTAAAATTTTACGACTTAAACGATATCAAGGTGAATTAATGGAAGTTGCAGTATTACGTACTATTGGTAAACATCCACAAATAGCTCATTTACATGCTGCATATGAATATAATTTACATTGTACATTAATTACAGAATTGTAAGTTATTTGAGAATCTATATTTCTGTGAATTATCTTTTTTTCAAAAAAATCTGATCTCATATAAATTAGTAGATCCGTAATTTGTAAAGTATTAGTTTCGATTATGCAATAAAACAAACATAAAGTAACAGCAGACCTCTGTTATTCGTTGTCTCTCCATGTACTTAAAATTAAAACACGAAGTTCAGCGAAGGGATCTCTTTTCAAGAAATCTACTATCAAGCTGTACAATCGTATATATATGAAAATGTTTTTCTAAAGTACTAATTCCATGAGAAAATGTGAACACAAATAACCAAGGTGACGTAATAGAAAGATTATAACACTAGATTACGTAATACGAGTAATTACAATAGATTTAGTGAATATAATGAGATGATTAAAATGAGTAAAATGCTTTTGTTACAATAACTAAAGGTCAATGGAGGTCATAGAGGTGTAAAAATAAATAAGGTGATATAATGAGTATTCGTGAATAAAATAATGGGAATATAAGAAATAAGTAGAGGGGAATGAAGTAATAATAATAATAAGGCCATGGTAACGATAATGATAAGACGTACTTCTTTTGTACGTTTGTTCTGGTTTGAGCTCATGCATGGTACGAGCTTCGGCTATTTTTAGGAGTTGGATACAAAGAAATCTAGGTAGATTTGAATGAATTTTTTTAAACAACCTTAAAATCAGACTGTGGATCCGTAGAGTGGTTACAGTCGATTAGGTGTTCAAGTATAGAACTCCTAACTTCTTTCCTTGTACTATATTTGTAGTCGATTTGCTGTAACATTTAACCCATCCTCTTTTCAATAGCATTTAAAATTTGAAGTATTTGTTCATTTGTTTGTTTAACTTTTGAAGTTGCCGAGAATTTTTTGATTATTTCTATAATCACTTCATATTCAAATACAATAATATCTTTGTTGTACATTTTAACCACTTTTCATTTACAGTTACCAATATACCTAACCTTAGTATTTCTGGTATTATTCATTAAAACATTTATATCCCTTATTAATTTAGGTATCGAATTATAATTATTCAGAAAGGGTTTTTGTGAAGATTGTAGTAATTTAAAAGTTGAATTCATGAGTCAATTAAAGCTAGACCACCATGAAAAACTTCTAAGCACTGAACGGCTGTTTAACCATAGTAAGGGACTACTCAGTGGTTCTCATCCACGACCCCGCTCACAGAATTCGAACCTTCGGTCTCTTGCGTGAACGCTCAACCTCCAGGACAATGAGTCGGCATCCAACGGTATTAACGTCTAACTTCAATCAATTTACGAAATCGCACCACCGTCCACCATTATCTTCAGTGAGTTACTATCTCACAGCCGACCTGGTTGAACTCCACATTTCACCCAGATAAATAAAGTTTCCTTAAAACTTGCATAGGGGATTTTGTAAAAATCTTTTCTATTCACAATCAAGTTTAAAAATTGATCAGTATAGTTTACGGGACTAGGTGCTTAGTTTAAAATAGCTGTATATCATATAACTAATTAAACGATATAACTCCTAAACCAACAATTTAAAGCTAAACATTAAACGTTTCACGCGGCGGAATCGTGGATGAGCACTGCTGAGGAGTCCCACAATAGGACGAAACGGCCGTTCATTGCTTCCAGGTTTCCCATAATGGTTTAACTTCAATCGACTCACGATTTCAATTACATATATATATATATCCTTAATAAGTAGAAAATTGTATTTCTGACATTTTATGACTTCATGTTAGTCACTTCTTCAGAGTACATAAATAATTGAAATAAAATTAACATATGTTTAAATAGTACTAAGGAAACAAAGTAAAATATTTTCCGCACAATCAAAATCATAATACGTTTGAACATGTCAATGTCATTTTATTGTGGTTAAGGTGATTCTGTTTGAAATATCACTGTAGTTATATGTGTATATGATGGTGAGTAAAAAATGTATAAATTCGTAATATGAAGTAGTGGGGTTGAAATCGTGTTTGTGTGTGTAGATTGTTTGGAAAATGAATAGGGTCAAATGTGGATGTTGGGTTGAATAGTCCAAATTGAATGAATAACCAAGCTTTCTTTCTTATCGAGGGCAGAGGGATTTAGCATTCTATGAAATGGTTCAGCTACTCGCTTCTCCTAATAAGTGAAAAAAACCTTTCTAGATTATTATGCTATTTTTAATATCAGTTTGGTGTTTATTGAAAATAGCATATACTTTTAATGGTGATTTAATTTGTAGATTGTTACACATCACATAAGAATATTACTTGATTTATTTTGTGATTGATAAATCCAAATCTTCAGTAAAACATTTCGTATCTGGTGTCCACATATTATCTCAATAAAGTTGATAATCAACACTGAAATGAAAGTGATAAACGATATCACAATCCTTAGTTTCCTTACTACATAGGGATTCCCAGATATTCATAACTCTATCTGTTAACGCAGTAAAATCTGATTAGAAAACAACCAATGGAAATTTATAAGTTTATACTGTTTGACTAACATTAATTATCATACTTTTAGTGTTCCAGGTGGTGCTCTTTACAACAGAATAGAAAAAGAGGGTTCTTTAGACGAAGCAATAACTGTGAGTATAATCCGTCAAATTCTTCTCGGTTTAAAGCACTTACAAAATTGTTCAGTAATTCATCGTGACTTGAAACCAGAAAATTTAATGATGGTACAAGCAAGTGGTTATCGATTAAAAATTATTGATTTTGGCCTCGCTGTATTTTATCAAAGTAATCAATGTACACCTATCCCAGCTGGTACATTAACATATATAGCACCTGAAACACAAAATTGTGATCCACAATCATATACTACAGATTTGTGGAGTGTTGCTGTAATTGCATATGAAATGTGAGTTTAAAATTAATTTACTTGCATGTTATAGTGGTGTACACGCAAATGATTGACACTAAAAATAAAGCACAATTTAATACATTGATTTGTAACAAATATTACTGGCGTTTGTAAAGCTCTAGTTCCTACTCTACAAACTGTCAGATCAAACTATGTACTCCAAGCTATAAATCATAAGTTTTGATATTTCAGGGGAAATCTGTTGATAGCACAGCTAATTACAAGAGGCTATGAAACTTTTATCAAGATTCCACAGTGCAGTACAGAAAGACAATTTGAAAACCAGTGTACTTAAACGTAAAAAGTAATTAACTGACGTTTTTCATCAAACCCTCACTAAACACATGAGGACGGGTTTAATCACAAACTGTCACAAGTTACTCCGAAACTTCATTGCTCTGAAAAATAATGGTCTACAATTCGTAACTGATGTGTTAATGACAAATGAATTTATCATTGTTGAAAGCGTGAGTCAATTGAAGCTAGACCACCATGGAAAACCTGGAAACACTGGACGGCCGTTTCGTCCTATTATGGGACTCCTCAGCAGTGCGCATCCACGAACCTGCTCTCGCGAGCGAGATTCGAACCCAGGACCTACCAGTCTCGAGCCGAAGCCCTTAACCGATAGACCACTGAGCTGGCATCCAACGGTGTTAATGTCTAACTTCAACTGATCCACGAAGTTGAGCAACCATTCACCAATTGTCTTCAGTGAGTTCCTATCTCACAACAGACGTGGTTTTGAACTCCACTGGTCACTGCTTCTCACTAGAGCTCCTAGATATACTTCTCGAAATCACTAGTGAGCATATTATTATATTAATTATAGAAGGGGTTTTGTGGAGATTTAGTATTTATCATTGTTGAAAGCGTGAGTCAATTGAAGCTAGACCACCATGGAAAACCTGGAAACACTGGACGGCCGTTTCGTCCTATTATGGGACTCCTCAGCAGTGCGCATCCACGAACCTGCTCTCGCGCGCGAGATTCGAACCCAGGACCTACCAGTCTCGAGCCGAAGCCCTTAACCGATAGACCACTGAGCTGGCATCCAACGGTGTTAATGTCTAACTTCAACTGATCCACGAAGTTGAGCAACCATTCACCAATTGTCTTCAGTGAGTTCCTATCTCACAATGCTTTCAAATGAATTGTCCTTAATAATTTGCATCTACTTATCAGTAGTATGAATAGCGTCGCAAAACTTTCAAATTTGGGAATGAAAAGTAAGATAAAATTATAATTGACTTAAACGTAAATTATCTGAACCGAAAGGTCAGTTCTTTTATAGAAAGCAACATAAAGAATAATAAATCACAAACGCGGAGTGTGATATTCTAAATACGCCGTTCGAATCACGTAGGAAGTGCATCTTTCAAAAAAAGCATATTAAATGAAAGCAACTACTTTGAATAATGAAAGAGAAAAATATGTGGAAGAAGAAAGAAGCTTTTATTTATAAATAAAGCTAGGTTTTGTCTTTTAGGTAAGGAATTCGTCTAAAATAAACTGTCTCAAAGAAAAGTGTTTGTAGGCAATAGTAAAATATGAAAAGAATAAAGACGTTAAAACTAAAGAATAAATCAAAAAACTGAAATGATTAGGTAAAGGAAGAGATGATTGGTTACTTGAGACAAAAGACACCACAAGTTCAGCTTTTGAAGTTATGTAAACAGTTAAGTAGATTTCAAACCATTACCTACTAACAAATAGTATAACATTACACATAAAACTAACTATTGAAGGAAAGAATTAATTAATGAAGTAGTAAATAGATTTGAATTCCCATTGGTAAACATAATCGTGAAAATTATCTTGGGTTTCATTTTCAGCAATGTCTTCTAAACCGCAAAAACTAGTAGGTCTATAAACGATATTTTCACTTAAACTGTTGGTTTGTTGTGCATAATTCTATATAAGTCATAAAGTTATTTATGGTTTAATCATATCATACTCAACATTACTTTTTATTATTTACTACATAGAAACCGACGAAATTCACAAAGAATCTAGCAAATAAAACTTAGTTGAAAGCATAAATCAATTGAAATTCGATCACCAAGGAAAACCTGGAAGCACTGGACGACCAATTCGTCCTATCGTGGAACTCCTCAGCAGTGCGCATCCACGACCTCGCCTCGTGAGATTCGAACCCAGGTCGTGGATGCGCACTGCTGGGGAGTCCCATAATAGGACGAAACGGCCGTCCAGTGCTTCTAAGTTTTCCTTGGTGGTCTAGCTTCAACTGACTGATGCTTTCAACTATGAAAATACTAAATTTCCACAAAACCCCTTCTGAAATAAAACTTACCCATATATTCTTGTCTTCGTTATTAGTGAGGAACTTATTTTAGACTGATCCTAAATTTTTAATTCATAGTCTTTTTGAAGATAAAATTCAACTAATGGTTTTCGATCAGACCAAAACCTTCATCTAAAACTAACAATAGGCTGAGTACCAATATTTAATGCAAATTTAAAAAAAAACAGAATTGAACTTGCTTACCAAGTAGGTCAAAGACTCAGAATTTATTGACAGAATTAGCCTGACACTAAAATAAAGTGGCATAGTTTGTATTATTTAAAATGATATACTCCTATACTCTATAAACTATTATGGATATATCTTTTTCTGTTTGGTTCAAGCGAAAGATAGCTTGTTTGAATTGGCTAGTGACGATTATCTCAGTCAATAATGAAACAGACTTACATAACTGGTGTTAGAGTAGATGGTATTCAATAAAATTAATAAATCAATCTACATTCATGAGAAGTAACAATAAAATTAGTATGGCAATTGAAAAGTATTAATTTATTACCTAACTTCCGAACCCAGAAAAATTACATACATAAATAGGTTGAATGAAACATGTCAATATTTCCGAATAAAAGTACTGAAAATCATACACTTTGACTAGACTAACTTCATAGATCTGTCATGCACACTAACCACTTTCATTTTTTTCTTCACTTGTCCACTGTATTTAAAAAAAAATCATAGTTTTGATAATTTTACGGAACTTTAGAAAGCAGTTTAGGTCGATTAGCATAGACATAGTAGTAATAATATGACATGCGTTAACGGTTATTAATTTTCTATCATAAACAATTCATTTCTATATGCAGCCTTGCAGGTATCACACCATTCGAAATTCCACAAGATGGTTGTCGTGATCGAATTCTCACTAATCAAGAAATATCTCTTAATATTACACATGTCAGATATGATTTTGACGACCCTGGAATAGTGGATGTTTCGAATGAGGCGAAAGACTTTATCAAACAAATTTTAGTTCGAGATCCTAAGTAAGTACTATTTTAATTCATGTTTACACAGTTGATAATGATGTTCATTGTTTATAAAAAATCACTGCTTATTTTTAAAAATACCACTGTTTGATATTTACCAAAGTATCAATATCTTTTGTACAGAGCAAACACTTTCATTTTCATCAATATCTATATACCCAATACATTGTTTACATATTTCATATTCCAATGTCGATTATTTAAATTCATTTAATGTGTGTGATGGAATAATCCATAAATAACTATTGATGTTTGCACAGTGTGAACTAAAATAGTAAAATTATAACGACCATACTAGCTTGATGAAAACACTTCAGTGATACAATACAGTTCATCAGTCCATAAAATTCACATGTGAGGAAGAAAATGGAGGTAGAATAGTCTTTCTAGATGTTCTACTTACAAGGAGAAAAGACGGTTCATTAAGAAGAAACATTAGTAAGAAAACTACTTGGACCGGACAATATACCAACTTTCCTAGTTTTTTTCCTCTACAATACAAAAGGAACCTGATTAAGACACTGAACCATAGAATAAAGACCATATGCTCTCTAGATGCTGTTGAAGATGTAACGTAAGCATTGTACAGGACCCTAAAAGAAAACGGATATCCGGAGAAATTTATAAATAAAAACATAGCCAATAAAAGAGAGCATAGAGAATGACTAAATGTGAATAAAAAGCCTCTGTATATACGCTTACAATCCAAAGGTGATGCACCTAGTGAAATGCTAAGACTAAAGTTACGCAGATCAATCCAAAGGACTTTTAATGCAGGTAAACTACAACTAACGTTTTTCACACGTCCAATAATCACACCGAGGTTGAAAGATAAATTGCTTAGACTAGCCATTTCTTTTTGTATCTATAAATTCAACTGCTCCTGTGGAGCAAGTTGTATTGGCAGATGTTATAGGAATTTGTATATTCGGGCTCTTGAGCACCTCCCTGTGTGGTTAAGCAAAGGTGTAGTTAAAACAGTTAACAGTTCCATTATAGCCCATTTAATTCAGACGGGACATACAGCCAACATGAAGCAATCTTTCACAATAATATAGCGTGTTAACGTCAGTCTACCTAATTCTGTCAGACTGAGAATCCTGTAGACGTCTGAGGCAATTGCTATTCTGATCAAAAAACCAGAACTTTGCATCTAAAAGAAATATGTCCAGCCGCTCCTTTTACCCTGGCCAACTAGCTAATAATCAATTTTATGATATGGTGACGTAATTCATTTTTATATCCTAAACTAATCTTATCTACACATCTTACGATTGTCATTATTATTATTGTTACACTTGCTAACCTTTTAGAAAAATTTATTCGGCATTCACCCCTATCAAGTATATCTGACCTGATTCATATCATTCTACATATTACGTAACTTCTGATTTGTGATTACATTATTCTTTCTCTAACCCCATGTTGACCATATTTATTCCGATTATTTATCTTACAACTTTATTTCACTTATAAGCTGAATCAATTTAACACTGCATATTAGTCATCCCAACACTGACGACTCGATTTATACGACAAACAATCCTTGCTTCACATATTACAGTTTTAAATGGTTCAAATGTTTGAGGACGGAATAGATGAAGCTTTCGCTTAACGGGCTTCCGTGTCTGGTAGCAGTGGATCACCAATACCTCCAGGCAAGAACCTAGGTATATAAACGACAATAGAGAAAAAAAAAGAATTTGATAAATCAAAATAATATGTTATCCTTAGTCCTTAAGAATAAGTCAAGTTTCCTCTTAAAGGACTCCTGGGAGGTCGCTTGGACTAGCTCAGTCGGCAGCGAATTCCAGCACATGACAACTCTAACGGAGTAGAAGTTGTGTCTACAGTCTGTTCTGCTATGTAGGGTCTCCAATTTCTGGGTGTTACCTCTCAGGTTAGTGTTATAACTAAGCTTAAGAAGATGTTTAAGGGGATGACCAGAAGTAATAAGGATACTATAAGTCATAAGAAGATCACCTCTAAGACGCCTGTACTCTAATGGGTAAAGGTTAAGTGATTTGAGGCGCTCTTCATAACGTTTGAATTTGAGCCCCCGAACTGATTTCGTGGCTCGACGTTGTATACGTTCCAGAGTGCCCTTATCCTTTTGGAGGGAGGGAGGAAATACTATGTTTCCGTACTCTAAATGGGGACGAATAAAACTGTTGAAGATTATATGGAAGGTTCTACCGTCAAACTGGCCAAATTCCAACTTATATTTTGGTCAGTAAACTCTTGGTAAAAAAAATAATGATTTAAGATAAAACTTAATCAGATTTATTCTTCACTTAGCTAGAGAGAAAATATTTATATTTCTACTTGTAAAATATTGGCGAATAATAATTCTTTCAGAAAAAAATATTCTTCAACTGGTGACCAGTGGAGCCAAATAGTGTGAGGTGCGAGGCAGTTATCCACCGAATGTAACGGAAGATGGCCGCACAATTAGACGTTAATACAACTGAATGCCAGCTCGGTAGTGTAGAGGTGAAGCGTTCACGTGCGAAACTAAGGGTCTTAGTTTTGATTCCCTCATGTGAGTTCATGAATACCTACTGCAGAAGAGTACCATATTAGGATGAAACAACTATCTGGATCTTCCAGATTTTCATTAGTTGTCTTAGATTGGTCCACAATTCTAATGAAATTCTTTAATCTCCACAACCTCGTAATGATAAAATTAACTGGTTATCCAATATGCCATGACACTTTAAAATGATAAAATCTTCAGTATACATAAAGCTTTCAATCGGAATTTTTCCTACTCAGTTAATGTGTTTATTTTATTCTATTTGAACACATAAATGTTGGTACAAAGGGGTACCAGATATATATGCAAATCTCATTTGATTTGTGTGAGGACTGTGATACTGGCTAGGTGCCCAAACTGAAGCAAGTGGTTTGCTTAGGGGGCCATACCCCGAGCCTTTGACCTAAAGATCTGATCCACAAGGCAGTGAAGCATCGTAAGGAGATGCATTCCCATGGTAGCCGGTGACCAACGATTGATTCATACGCCATTTGTTCCCTCAGGATATTCGAGCCCATGTGCATCATTGGTTTGGAATTAGTGTTTCCCAACTCCCTTTGGTGGACTTCCCTTGTCCATCAACGCGGTTAAAGCGCCGGACATTCGCTTTTCGTCCTCTCAATTTCGTAAAAAACACCCCCGGCACTAGAATGCAGTAAGACTACCTTGGCAGAGGCTATATACGCGTGGACATGTGAGAGCATTTGGAGAGGGAGAGCGGAATTTCCCCACTCTTGCCCGTACTAAGGCATTTGGGGGCACATAGTATGAGAAGCTATCAGAACAAAATCATTTTTTTTCGAATCAATAAATTATTGTTCACACAAATTAACCATTCTAATCAACATTTGGTAAGATTATATGACCTGTATTATTACACTTTTGAAAAGAATAGATTAAATAATATGATATTCAATGAAAATCTATCGGTCACATAATTTAGATGTGAGAATTTCTTTCAGAAAAAATCACTATTACTTAGTTAATGAAAAAAATAGAAAAAATGTTTTGTTTTGGTTTTCGGATTTTAAAAAATCTATGTTACACTTTTATTTTTATTTTTTGTGGTTTTAAAAGTGTAATTACTAAACTGGAGAGTAAATGAATACAAGGATCAAATGTAATGGTAATAATTAGAATGAGGTTGTGTAGATTGTTGAATGTTTCTTGAGATCATGAACCAATCATTATTAGATCACCATTGAAAACCAGGAAGAACTGGAGGGCTATTTTGTCTTAGCATGGAACTCTTCAGAAGTGAGCATGCATGGTCCTACACACAGGACTTAAGTCCAGGACCTTTGGTTTCCCGTGCGATTGCTTAACCTAAAGACCACTGAGTATTTGAGGCAGTTACCCACTGAAGACAATGGAAGATGGTTGCGGGATATCATGCATTGATTGAAGTTAGTCATTAACACTGATGGACAACGACTTGCTGGTCTAGGGGTTAAGCGTATGTGCTAGACTGAAGGTCCTGGATTCTAGTCGCACATGTGAGATCGTGAATTTTTACTGCTGAAGAGTCCCATATTAGTACAATGCGAACATCTATTTCTTCTGGACTTTCAATGGTGGTCTAACATTGTTCGGTTCATGATCTCACTAAAAAAATATTGGTAGTAATCTTGATAAGGAAACTGAAATGATTTGAATAAATGGCAATGTTCGTTTATTTTGTTGTCAATATGCAGTTATGAACTATCGTATTTTAATAATTCATTTACTAGTGCCTAATATTTGGACAAGATTGATTTATAATTTAACTTATTATCTTTCTAGTGGTTTTCAGTCGAATCGAAGATCAACATTTCGTCCCATTTTTGACAGATGAACTGAAATCAAGCCCCTCAGGATGCAGATATGCAAAGAGAACATTTACAAAACATTTATTTTTTGCTATCAAGAAGTAGTCATAGATAACTTCTTGGTTTGAAAAGTTATTGTTCAAGTGCTATTATCTTATTTGTTTTTCCCGTTAGTCTACACAGCTCCACACACACACACACATTTTTTCCATATAAATCATTAGTAACTAGTACTAATTTACTTTGTGATAAATGCAGATCTATTATTCACTTTCATTTCAAAGTACTTTGAAGTTAGATTTCTCAATTGAATAACTACTAGTTGTCAAGATTAAAAGTGTGTTGCTCATTGGAAGGAAAGTATTCTCTAGAAAAGTCTATTAATTTCCCAAGTGGTTTATTTAAAAGCTAATTATATGAAAAACATAAAACACGAGTTTATATTTTTTGAACTTTTTATACCGTTTCATAATCCTTTACAATTCACAATTGTTTAATCGAACTTCTACGTCTATGGTTTTTCTATATTACTCAAGGAAAAGACCATCAGTAGATCAGTGTTTAAGTCATCCATGGATGGCAATGCGTGAAGAAGACAGGCCACTTGTAAAAAGAACAGTTTCATTGTTTCGTCATAGTACACGAAAAAAACCTAAAGGTGTAAGTATATCGTTTATTTTATTATTAATATCTGTTAAGGTTTCCTAGTGAAAAACAGTTTCTACGTCGTGTTCTTCACTAATCGGCCTCAGTTACGATACCATTGAAAACCAAGAGTAACAGAACAGCTGTTTCGTACCAGTAAGAGACTCTTCAGTGGTGAGCGTTAATAACTTAGCCACTGGATGTACCAAGGGTCTTCATGGATCGTAATGAATGGTTAACCTATAGGCCACTAGAATTCCATACAACAGTACACATTTCTGACTCTATTTATTTCACAATATAGCGCGATGATCTTTCACTGCCATTACAAATGACTTTTGCACTCCTGTCATGGCTGAAATTATTGATATATCATTAGAAATTCAGAAAATCATTTCAAATTAAGTAATTAGTTGGCACACTAATATAGTTTTATTGAAGGAGGTAGATTTTCTAAACATTCAGCAGTAGTTGACAATCATCGATACGGATTTCCTCACTTTTTCGGCTTTTCTCAAGACAATTGTTTAATGAATAAATACATCCTTTTAGTCGACGAGGAGAATACAAGGATTAATCGGATAAAGAAATTAGAAATACAGTCTTAAACATATTACTATCATGCTTGTTAAAGATGACTATATGTGATTCACTTTTTGTGCATATTCCTACTTGTTTGAATGAGTTTGACAAAATGTTCAATGTACAGTATGATTATACTACTTTAGTTGTTCCCTTTATCATTTAAATTCACATTGTTTGGAATACACCATCTTTCCTCTGGAAAATGGATTATGATCATTAAACACTAAAAGATTATTTTTGTACACATTAAGATATTTCGAAGAAGTCATTTCTATTATAAGCAGTCTATCTAGTTCATAATATTATATACAATTATAAGGAAATATAATAATAGGTCGAAATCAAATACTTCCTACTTTTTTTTTATCCATCTAGTCACCATTGGAGTATGACCATTGTTGTCCATTAATATTTGATTTGAATGTCTCACTTTTGAATATTTTCTAAGATGTCAGGGGATGAACAAAATAAAATCATATATTTAGCTATTTACTTTTACTTGTAAAAATAAAACTTTGATATTTGACCCCTGAAACTTGTTTTTACTATCACAAATTAAAATACGATTTAAGCTTGTTTAATTTGTTTATACATATATTGATCTTACACACTTCTAGTCTCCGAAAATCTAATTAACACAGTTTCTATGTTAAAACGAACCTAAAATAATACACCTGTGAAAGGTATCGTTATTTATCTTAATGGAAACGTACAATGTATCTGATATTCTAGGCGGAAGGATAAGTGAGAGATGCTGACGAGCGAAAGCTATTATGCACGATTCGACTTCATTTTCTAAAGAGGTATACGCTGTGAGTCAAAAATGTAGCTTTATCTTATTAAAGCAAAAGATATATATTTATGATTAAGGTGGATATATATTCTGGGCTCAGTTTAGCTAATAAAATTGTTTAGCTCAATCTTTCTTTTCTTACTTAAGTAACTAGTTGAGCTCGCGTAGAGAAAGATTGTGCATCAGTAAGCAGATTTAAATGATGAGACAAAATAACAATTTTTCTATAAGCTAAAACTATTCATTATTATCAGAAGGGGTTTTGTGGAGATTTTAGTAATTTTATAGAGTTGAGATGTTGAGTGAATTGAAGCTAGACCACCATGGAAAACCTTGAAGCACTGGACGGCCCAATTTCGTGGATCGGTTGAAGTTAGACATTAACACCGTTGGATACCGGCTCAGCGGTCTATAAGTTTAGTGCTCTGGTTCGAGACTGGTAGGTCCTGGGTTCGAATCTCACGAGTGCGGGATCATGGATGCGAAACGGCCGTCCATTGCTTCCAGGTTTTCTATGGTGATCTAGCTTCAATTGTTCATTATTAATCTGATTTTTTAGATTTTCAATTTTTAACTAATCGAATAATTTCTATCTCTTTTACAGTATCGAATTAAAACACAAACAACTCAAAAGTATGATCCACATAATTCAGCTGATCCTGAAATAATTGAATAAACATATTATCAAATTTAATTATCTCAGATTTACAAACTACAGAATTAAACCTTCTTTTCTTGTTTAAAATCTTACATGTTTTTTTTAAATTATATTAAGGAAAACAAAATTATTGGCGTTTAACTTAATAAATGTAAAATAAATTTAATTGAACTTCATATTCTGGGGATTATTTTATTGAAAGAAATACACATTGTATTGTATACATCTTCGTCTAGATTACTTAAGCTTACTGAACATTTTTTTTCAGTACTTCTTGTTTTACTAATATCAATGTTTTCTTTCAAAAAAAAACCCAACAAAACAGAACAAAATGAACTTCTAATGTAAAAGATAATTTTCAGACATTGAAACAATGGTACTCTAAATACAAAGGATGATCAGTTATTAATGGCAAACGAGTTAGACTTTTGTTGACTAAGGATATTCAGATATTTTTATTGTTAGTTTTTTTTAGCATAAGACAGTAATGTTTTAAATCTATAGGAAAAACAGGTAAATGTCCTAATGTTAATTAACATTCTCTGACCCAAACATTAACTATTTGTGGTCAAATTCAAGTGATTTGATGTTGGTTAGGGTTTTATCTATTTATTTATTTGAACACATAAATATTGGTAAAAAGGGGTATCAGATATATATGCGTCACACAAAAAATTGTCGTTTCCTTTAATTATGTGAGGGCTATAATACTGCCCGCATGTCCAGACTGAAGCAGGTGGTTTTCTTAAGGAGACACACCCCGAGCCTTTGACCTAAGGGTCTGATCCACAAGGCAGTGGAGCATCGTGAGGAGATGCAGTCCCATGGTAGTCGGTGACCGACGATTGGTTCATACGCCATTTATTTCTTCAGGATACTGGAGCCAATGTGCACCATTGGTTTGGAATCAGGGTTTTCCAACTCCCCTAGGTGAACTTTCCGTGTCCACCAACCCGGTTAAAGCGCCGGATATTCGCTTTTCGTCCTCCCAATTTCGTAAACAGCAGTGATGCCACGGGAAGGCAGTGAGTATATACGCGTGGCCATGTGAGAGCATTTTTCGAGAGAGGGAGGGCCATCCCCACTCACAGCCGTACCAGGGCATTTGGGGGCTTAGTGAATTATAAGCCTTTCTTCTCTTTAAACATCAAACAAAGTACGTATAAACCTCACCGTAAGCTTATTTGCAATCAGCGATCTCTATTTAACTAATCTGAGAATTTTAATTCTAGTATTTTTCTAAAGCATTTTCACTTGATTCTGAATATAGTTTAAACTTTGAGTGTCAGGCCAGATAAGTCTAAACGTACCATAATCTTCTGAAGCTAGGGAGATTACATATTATAAGTCCAGTTGTAGGCGAGAAATACAAGAATGGCAGGTCAGTGATGTGGGTTCACTCAACCATGGTCAAATGCTCAAATATATTTTATTGGTTTAGACACATCTAAATGTACTCTGACTGTGCACAGATAATTCAGTTTATCACTAATGCTTGCTAGTCAATCTAAGTTTTCTTGCTTGAATGCCGGTTAGTCCGAAGGCTTAGTAAGTACAAACTTTAAATAAATTGAACTGACATCATGGGGACTAAAAAGTATTACATTGCGAAACTATTAAAATCTACACTGAAGCATTACTACATTTTAACCTTTAATACGTTAGCACCTCAACATCTTTTACAATATTCGATCTTTAATTCCCCGTATTTTCCTCAAAATAAACGAATTTTCAAAAGACGTTTTGATTAAGATTAATGCCTACGTCACTGCAAAAGACATAAAATATTTGATTACGAAACCGTATTCTATGCTTCTAATGCATGATTTTGTTTCCATTTACTAAGGTAATTGAAAATTCATGGTTTTCGCTCTGGCCGAAAACACACTGTTGTATATAGTAAACCTACACTTTGATCACGTCAAGAAGTTCATACAGTTCTGTATTTTGATGACGATACAATAATCTTATTTAGTTTCATTGATTCTCTACTAACAGAAAATGATTCATTGTCAAATACTCCACCTAAAAAAACGAATCGTAGCCTAATGAATGAATGGATGTAAATCAGTAGTCAATTAATAATAATAATATATTATGAACATAATAATAATAATAGTTACAGAAGTTACACCAGTGTACAGGGATGATCAGTTTGATATAAATAGTAACATTAAATGTACAGAACAAATATGTGATATATCATTGTTTTAAGTTTACTAGTTCAAAAATTGTTTCGGCAGTACATTTATGACATATATGACAGCAAAGCGATGCATCAGCCTGGAACTTTTAATTTTCAAGTGGACATTCCATTGATTGATGAACGGTGCATTTAAGGTCATTTCTTGTGCCATAACGAACTAATTATATTCATCTACAACTAGAGAAAGTAAAATGGAAATAGAGCACGGAACAACAAGGTAATAATAACTAAAATATGTCAATCAGCTCTACCATGATGCATGTGTCATGTGACGCAGTGATATACTGTCCGTGTTAGATATTACTCAAATCAGTTAAGGTTGTCAAGGGACGGTGTTAACGTAAAGCAACATCAGTTAGGTGGTTTTACTTAGTGAATTCAGTAACAAAAATGGCTAAAAATTAGAAGTTCCTATCATCTCAATTGTGGAATAAGATACACTTACAGGCGCGAGAACATTTAATGCATTTTCAGAGGAGCAGTATGCATCAATGCAGCGAACAAAGGATGGGAGTGATTTTTTCTTACAGACAAATTGTGGTAGATATTCCAGAGTACGGAAAATTTAAAAATAAGGTAATTCATATGGAGAGATAATTTAGAATGGGTTTGTTTCACTAATGACAAGGAATTACAAATGTCGTAATTAGAAGTTTCTGCATATTGTTTAGCTCATAAGGAGAAGATGAATACGCCACTTTAAGATCATCTGCATACAGAAAAAGCTTACCCGCACAAAACATTCGTAAATATCATTAATGTAAACTAAAAGGGGCACTACCTTGTATTACACCACTTCTGATAGGGACAGCATTCGACAAGGAAGAGTTAATTTTAACTATTTGATGTCGGTGGCTGAGGAAGGTATCAAACTCAGCAAGCAAAGGGTTTCGGACCGCGTGAGATGCGAGTTTATCTATGAGAAGTCGCCGGTTAACTATGTCGAAGGCTTTAGCAGTGTCAAAATATAGCACTAAGACTAGATATCTTTAGTTACGTTGAGAAAAGACTAAATTAAAAATTTCAAATCGGCTTGTCACAAAAAATCAATTTTTAGGAAATCCATGTTGAGAATCATGGATAAATTTTCCAGTGAGTAAATAGTTGAATAATTCGTCACTATTATGTTTTCCATAATCCTAGAGAAAACTGGAGTAATATTTATCGGCCGACAATTGTTCATGTCAGTCTTATCTCCAGATTTGTAATATGATATAATGTACGCGGTTTTCCAGCAATAAGGTTAAGAACCTGATTCCATAGACAGAGTAAACAGCTTTAGAAGGAGAAATGGAATATCTGGACCACCATACTTGTAGAGAAAGGATGAAAACCCGTCTACTCAATGACTACTGGAAACCTTAAGCTTATCTATAGCCTTACTAATTTTCAAGCATGTGAAGGAGATAGATTTTATTGAGTTATTAGTCACCAATATGACTCTTGAAACAGTGCAATTCAGGAATTCTTCACTATTTTCAAAAATACCACTTAAAAGGTCTGCTATAGTTTTAGAAACGTATATAAAAGTGATATTATGCAAGATGCATGGTATATAAAAAATTTGAGTTGCTTTAACGAGTTTATTCAAAAGGAGAATTGAGTTTTGAACCTTTGAGCTAGTATAAAGTACTAAAAACTTCTCATTAATGGCCTTTAAACTGTGCTCCTCTTTAATTAGATTAAAAACTATTGTTATTTGTACAACTGCCGTGAAGTCGCTTGACTTAAAATAACATTTCTGTAGACGTCTTAGTTTATTACGATATTTATCTGGAATATATAGTTCGTAATGTTTATTAAACCTGTACGTTTAAAGAGGTGCACAGGAGTCTAGACAAGAGTTAACGATTAAATAGAATTTGTTGATGGCATCCATGAGAAAAATACAGTCCAGTCCGAGAGTTTGATCAGTGAGCGCAAGAGGTCCCAGCCAGCATGCTTATGGTCTCTATATTGGCAAGTTTTTTGAATCGGTCGGTTATAAGAGGGATAGGTAAGGAGAGCACAAGCTGCTATCTTATGGTCACTGCTTTCAAACTCGTTGTATACTTGTACAGATAGTGGGATGACATCTCTGCTAAATATTAGATCAAGTATACTATCACTCCTTGTTGGGGTACGAACCCACTGTGAGCAGCAGTCCATGTTAATAGTTGACGAAAATTCATCATTAATAAAGGGATGGCCCTTCTACCTCATGATTTATTCCATCAAACAGATTATTATTAATTTGTTGTTACCATTGTGTGCATGTCAGTTTGAGGGTTTGAAAGTGCAGAAAACACTAAACCAGAAAATCCATAGGAAGCAGAAAAACCTTGTCCAACAGGCTACATAGAATTCTAATGATCCAGAACAATAATTGCTATTGGTAGTCTTTCGATTTCATTTGCCAATAAATGGGAACAATCAAGTAACACCCTTACTCATACACTTTTAAAGGCAGAAATAAGCATAAACGTAACAAGCAATAGCGGTTATAAAAAGTCGTTTCCACAAATTTCGAGAAGAAAGTTTCACAGTATAATTTTGAAACGCGAGCTGAAAATAACATATTATGCCCCCAAATTGATATTCATCGCGAAAACTAAATCCATAATTCCACATACGCCACAATAACGTATATATTATTAAACCATATATTTTATGCTTATAAGTCTAAATTGTGTATGAACACATGATCTGTTTTGAGGGCAACTGAAAATACGCTTAAGTAGCTTTGGAGTCATTTTTTCAGAGAGTTGGCAATTCAGCTTTTGTATAGTAAGCAACAAATAAAGCAGGCCAAGGGTTTGATTTAAAAACAACCTTTAAATGCTGAAATAGAAAGTAAAAGTTTGTGAAATATGTAGTCATTAAAAAATCTAACCGTTCTTTGTTTAAAAAGATGTTTGTCCTAACTTTCAACCACACCTAGAAATTCCTAATCCAATAGTAACTTCAATCCATACAATCTGGAACTTATTCTTAAATTTTTAACAGTTATGCAGTTTGGAGTCTCGTTTGTATGCTTCAGTATTGATTATGGATTTTCTACATACTTTCTTCTCACTGACTTCAAATTTAGCTTATTTCTGAATTATACCTGAAATAATTTTTCCTATTAAGTCAATGTATTAAGACTTCTAGTATCACTTTGCCAGTGATAGTTGGTTTAGCAGCGTTACTAACTGGTTGAGAAGCGTCCAGTCATGGAATCAGAAC